CCGAAATAAAAAAGGATTAGGGTTTTGGGCACTGCTCATTTGAACATTTACACGCTTTTCATCATCTTTCAACAGTTGCCCAGTTTTCATCATTTGCATCATTTTCATTGACTATCAAGAACTTTCACGATTGTTCATCAACATCATAATTTTTTAGTCGTTCACCGTCCTTCTTTACATTTTTCCATGCTCTTTATGGGTTTTCAATGTCTTTGTCATCTTTCAGTAGTTTCCATCATCTTTCATCATCTTTATCCTTGTTGGGGGGGCTGCGCCCTCAACCCCCCCCGCCTTTTTACAGTCCTTCCACGCTTGCCGTAACAAAGAAGCATCATGGCATCACCAGGTTTACAACTTTTGTTTGTGAATTGGGGGGGGCTGCGCCACCCCCAGGCCCCCCCTCGCCCCCAGCCCCCAGCCCGCCCCCGACCCCGGCCCCCCCCCGCCCCCGGCCCCCCACATCCCTTTTCTTAAAGCCATCCACGCTTGCCGTGTCAAAGAAGCGCAGTGTCATCATCATGAGGAATGGCTACACAGATCATTTTGTTTGCAAATGCGGGGTGGCTGCTCCCCACCCCCTCCCCAACCACCCCGCCCGTATTTGAATCAAACCTGTCCATGTTTGACCACTGTTCATCATTGTAGACCATGTCATCATTTTCCATGATTTTCATCATTGTTCTTCTTTTTTGATGCTTTTGATGCTTTTCGCAATTCTTCATCATATACAGCATGTTGCATCATTTTCTATCATCTTTCAGAAGTTTCCATGATTTGCCAGAATCCTCATTTTTTTCACAAATTTTCATGTTTTCATAATTCTGGACAATTTTTCATGAATTTTCACATTCTTTCATGACCGTTCATGATTTTTCACTTTTTGCATGATGGTTCATGTTTTTCAACAATTCTCAGATTCTTTCATATTTTCATGATGTCTCAGCATTTTTCACATGTTTTTCCACGAGTTTTCATGTTTTTTCACAACTGTTCACGATGTTTCATGATTTTTCTTACAATTTTCCATCATCTTTGAATTTGAAATCGAGATTTCGCCTGAGAATTTCCAAAAAACAAAAAAAGCAAACACAAAAAGCAACACATCTCACATCAAATTTATTATATACTTTCTTAAAAGCTGTCCGCGCTTGCCGTGACAAGCACGCATCATGTCATAAACATATTTGCAGTAGGGGATGGTTATACAGATTATTTTGTTTGCGCCTTGAGGGCCCTTTCCCCCGCAACCCCACCGCCTTTTTTCAAGTGAAACCTTTGAAAAACCATGAAAATGAAATATGATGATCTATAAGTATGATGGAATATAATGATGTTTGATGAATATTACGGAAAATAATGAAACATCGTGGAAATTCTTGAGAATTCTGGCACGTCATGGAAACGGCGAAAGATGATGAAAAATCATGAAACGTGATGCAAATAATACAAAAAGTTGTGACAACAATGATGAATATCATGACAATGATGAAATGATTTAAAATGACGAACAGCGGTCAAGCATGGACTGCCTTGATGCTCATCATGTTTATCAAATTTCATAATTTTCCATTCTTTTTCATCAGATCTCATCATTTTCATCATGCTCATCACATTTCATCATTCTTCATCGTTTTCATGATTTTCGTCATTTTTCATCATCAGTCGTTGAATTTCATCACATTTCTTCATATTTCGTCATATTCCATAACTTTTCATGATTTGTCATCATTTTTCATCATAATTCGTCCAATTTCATCATGTTTCCTCATATTTCCTCATTTGCACCATTTTCAGCAAAAAGCGAGCTCTCCCTGAGACTTTCTAAACACAAGAAAAAAGAATCAGCACAACATGATTTTGCGTCTAGTGGAAAGTCGAGTGGAAAGTGGAGTAGACAGTAGAGGACAGGACAGTAAAATGGAGAGCTGAGTGTGAAGTGGAATCTAGAAAGTTGAATGGAACGTGGAGTGGAGTTGGCCAGGTTTTGGGAGGGGTTGTCTGGGCCCCTGAACAAGCTGGCATCCAGCTTTCCTCGTCCCCCTGGCCACCATTGCTAGAGCCTGACTAGCTTTCGTTGGTGGCCTCGGCTTGCCCCTCAAGTGGCGAGCATGAATTGCATCTGGCCAAGACAAGTGTTGACTTGTTGCAGGCAGTCAAAGCGGGGAATGCGGCTCTTCAGAAAGCTCGTGTGCTTTCGCAGCAGTTCATCGGACAACCTGGGGCTAGGATGGCTTGGGCGGCTTGAGGTCGGATTGAGCTACCGCACAAGCTCAGCTAGATCAATCAGCATCCGCCTGCGTGAATGGTACTGAAATTCAGCGGGTGTGACTGCTGCTTGAGGCTATGATGCCTGCTGTGAATGTGAAGACCTTCCATCGCTGTCCAGGCGTGGTTCTGCAGTCTTGGCTGCTCTCAGGAGTAGGGTGAAGCCATCTGAGGTGACTCATCCACGAAGATGGCAGGCTGATGCCCACGCTTGCGCTAATGTGGATGCACCTGCCAAAAGGCACAACTCTGAGGTTCACATCCATTCGTCTACTCTGAAACCAGGCATGTCTGATGCATCCTCACCATACGTGCATCCAGCCAGAATTCGCAAAAATGGGCTTTCCAGCCATTGGTGAAGGGTGGCTGACTTGCATGTTGCAGCTGTAGCACGTGTTTTCGTGCTTCTTGGCTGCTGCACGCGCTTACCTGACCCTGTCCCCAGGACGATGACTCTAATTCGAAGCCACGCATTAGCAATGACAAGTTGCTTGCCGCGTCCATGCTGGCACTCATCATCGCCTAGAAGATCATGTGGCTGCTGTTTGTAGTCCTTGCATGTTGGGTAGCATTCGATTCCGTTTTGTGTTGCTGCAGGTTGCGCCTCTGCTTGCCTAGCTAGCTATGAAGGATCCCGAACACACCCCTGCTGTGTTGCACACTTGGGGTGTTGATCTGACAGATAAGTTTTTGTGAGGCTGCTGCCGTATGTAATCCAACAGTAAGCTAGTGGAGGATAGCAGCCTTTGTGTCCGGCGATCTCTGGGCGGATACAAGCTCGCCAGCTTGGTGTGGAAGCATTGATCTTTCAGTGCCGTCGAATGCGGAAGCTTCCCAAAAGAATGGCCGTAGATGCAATATGCTGTCCAAATTCCTGCGGCAGCCTTTTGAGCGGAAAGCACGCACCCGAGATCAATACCTGAAGGAACGCCAGCATCCAGAAACGTGCTCTGGCTGCTGCCTGGAAGAGCTTTCTTGGAAGATCCGGCTGTTTTCTTAACCGATCGTTGACGCAGCTTAGTTCTCTCCAGATTGATCTCTGCCCGACGAAACGATGATCTGCTTTGCCTGGAACAGTGCTACGTACCACGACTAGGGGAGGGGAATGTGGCAGGACTGCAGGAAACAGGACAAGACTAGTTCCAGTATGTGAAAGACACTCATGAGCCTGCTCCAAGCGGCACTTGGGCTGGGGACATTTGCCCAGTTCAGATGAATTCGCTGGCCAACATGGTGTCTGCATTCTGCATGTGCCTCTGCATTTACTGATGCCACCTTGGACAACAGCAGACCATGGTTCTTGCTAGATGCCTCATAGGGGATTGCCAGGACAAGCATGTGGGACGGGCCATGCGCGGCTCTCAAATTTGATCGAAGGAGACCCCAGGAATGGATGGAAACAGATCTTTTGACGCCTCACGGATAGCTGTGCAGTCTTTGTTCGCTGTCGTATGGGTGTATCTTGAGGTATGTTTGATGCTTCCCTACTTTGTTTTTGCTCCTAAGATTAAATGCCTGACTTGGGGTCCGATCTTGGATACAGACTCCAAGACGGATTGACAGCGATTGTCAACACGGCGATTGCCTTGTCAGCCTGTACCTCCATACTTCAAGCTGATCCTTGTTGCCCTCATAATGTTGACAGAGGATTGATGTGATATAGCTGGGCACCTGAAATCAAGGGTTTCTCTTCGAGGAGCAGCTCTGTTTGCATGCAATGCAAATGTCTACTCGGAACGTGCCCCTTCCATTGATGAGAGAACTGTAGATTGCTGACTGAGTGGTTCTCAAGCCAGTTGCAGTTTTTCTACTGAAATTGTAGGCCAGAAAGATCAATGGACTTGGGCTTCAGTTTCGAGCATCCAAAAAAGAGCTTGGCGTGAGCAAAAGTCTTTGGCCTGTTTGAGGACAAAGCGCTTCGCCGTACCAAGTGTCAAGTTGGAGGTGGTGATTTCTTTGAATAATCGACACCGACTGATCTTTCATGTTCAGCCAGAACTAGTGCCAACTTGTCACCACAGCTCTACCCCTGGAGGGCTTGAGCTTTGCGTTTGATATGTTCAGGACATGCATGACCAGGGTGATGACGGAGTGGAGACATGCAGGGCCAAACTGGTCGTGTGAGTAGTGCTAAATGTTGACACACGCTTTTGCCGGCGCCGGCGATGGAGGGTTGGCGTTAAGACTTCACTCGGCTGCGTGTCCGTGTTCTGAAAGGGGAAATTACAGGAATTCAAGACCGAGTCAGTTTGTCTCTGAACGATAGGCCGAAGCCACTTGCAGAAGCTTGTCCCAACCGCTGTCGTGGGGGTCCTGTGGATGTGGTTCCTATACCAGCTGCAGTCAAAATCAGTGCGTCGCATGACCGACTGAGTCAGAGGGGTACTTTGGGTTCAGGTGCTCTGCCACTCATTTCCAGAACACCTTGGCAGACATTTAGTATAGGCCCTGATATGAAGAAGAGTAGAAGTAGTATCTGTCTCGTTTATGACAAGCGCGACGTGTTTGTACCTTGCAGTCTCTGACAGTCATCACAACTTCCAACCGACCTTCGCTGCAGAAGAAGGATGGGTGCAGAAGAGCAGATCAAAAAGGACTAATTAGCATCTCGTTTGCAGAGCTGATGAACTTATGCTGCTACATCTGTTGCTGATGGGCTACAATTGCGACTTTTACTGTCACAGATGAGTTGAGAAGCTGCAGACCTTACGCGTGCTGATGAGCTTGTCACTCAGGCTTGACGATTCGGGCGTCATCTGCTGTGCCGCAGACGCCTCATACTTCTGATTTTGCAACATGCGCAGGTGCATTTTGCGAAAGGCTCTCCGGCCCCAGACTTTCAAAGATTATTAAGATATCTGTGTGGATCAGTCAAGAGTTTAGTTTGTCGTGCCGCTTATTGGCCACAGCTTGAAAATGCAATTGCCACTCACAGGTGGAGCCAACAGGTAACAGTGAGTTGGGAGCTTACTCTGCCTGTTTTGTATACAAATTGTTCGTGTAAAGTCCATGATTTCTGCACATTTCTGCAATGCTCTTCTTTCCAACTAGCCGAAGACATCACCCCCGAAGTTTATGGATGCTGCAAGTTGAGATGCAGATTAAGCAATGTCACATGTGCGCCCAGGGGCCCACAGGTCAACAAGCTTCTGTGCCGCATCTGTTTGCTGGAAGGGCCTGGAGAGGACCAGGCATATGGGCCAGAACTGTATCGTTCTGCAAATCGCTGAAAGTCCGCTACTTCTTGGGGCCGGGTACGTTGCAGTGCTGATTCGTTGGTTTGATGCCAGGATGATCCCCTCATTGCCCCATGTCAGTGCAAAGGATCCATTGAGCAGCATCCTCAGAAGCCTTGCGCTATGAAGAACAGTTGGTTGTTGAGAAGGCGTCACATCAGATTAGTACCTTGAACGGGGCCACCATAGTTCCAATAGATAGTAGGGTTCTATCATACTCTCCCTTCCTCTTGGGTAACGTGCATAAAATCTATCTTCCTGTACCTTGTTCAGCTGCTACAAGCACTCCTGACTACTCATCTGGTGCTGTCCAATCTATGATTACAGTGGTTCTCCTACTCGTGCTGCCTGTTCACCTGTCGATCCTGACGGTGACATGACATGTCTCTGTGATGAAGGTATGTGCATCTGGGCTGCCTGCGGCACTGGATTCGAGGACGCCTGAATCTCTCAGACCGGCCCTTGGGCTCTTACTTCTACAGGCCGTCCAACTGCACAATTTCCAGTGCCAGAAGATCTGTTTCCCTAGAAAGCGAGCGTGGCTTCTTGCAGGATGTGGCTCATCATCTAGCTTTGAGATGACTCATGCCAACTTTCACATCCTTGTAAGTAAGACGGAGCCCAGCTTTTGCTAGCAAACGAGCCAGCCTCCAATGCCAGGCCTTTGACTTGTGAGTTGTGCAAGTCAGTGTACCCCACATACATCCATACCAACAGTGCCAGGCTCTCAGGGGCATTTTGTCTCGCTCAGTTGCAACGTGCTGTAACAAGGGTCTGCAGTGTTTAGAATGTTGTGAGAATGATGGATGTTCCTAAGACTGGTTTTGTACTCTCGTGAGACTGAGCGCTCAACTGAATTCCTGAGTCCGAGGGCCAGGAACGCCAGCCATTGGTGGAAGTTCCATTCACGCAGCCGCCTTTCATAGTCCTGGAGAACATGGTGGAACGGACTTGTTGGGCCTTTTGCTGTTCAACGCCACACAAACCTGGGTTTCTCCCCTGTTCAGCCAGGTGCGAGACTCGCAGCAGCATACCTCCCGGGGCTTGCACGTGATTTCGTTGGCGGAGAAGGCACAGCTCACCATGCGCCATGCGCAGAACGTGCAGAAGTGGAGTGCAGTGCTTGTAGTGCTTGTGAGGAGCTGAAGCTTGGCCGTGGGCACGAGAGCGACGTACGCATTGCGGATGCCTGGGCCCTCAGTGGATCTTTCCGTTGCTCCCAGCCTGGCCGCAGCCCTGCAGGTCTCGATCTCACGAACTCATGCAACGATTCGGTTCAGTCTGCGGCTTTCGGCCTGTATGTGTTGAGATAGTTTTGTGCCTATCTTTGCCCTAAGGCAAGGGACAATTCCTCCTGCAAGACAGCTCCTCGAAGTTCGGCACGCTGGTCGCCATGAAGAAACCTAGGGTGCTGGAACCAGGCTCTTAACATCATGAGAACATGCAGGCACATGCAACCGCGTTTGTGCCTGAGCGATCCTGAATTCAGGTGTAAACATCTCCATTCAGATGGGCCGTACGGTTCTGACGCTGTGCGCGCAGCACGATCCAAACCATTCCAACTCGGTGCAACCGTCCTTGTTTGGATTGGGGCTTCCCAAGCCCATGTGGTATAGCGCGCAAGTTGTCCTGTTCACAAGATTCCCAAGCTTCAGGTATTGATGCAGATGTATCTTTGGCTCCATGCCAGCAAACATCCACCATCAAACATTCTGTGCCAGGCCTCCTCTTTGAATCAGCTACCAGTTGGGGGCAGCGCCCAGGCAGGTAGAACATGTAGGCAGCCTCGCATTGCAGCCTTGCATGTGGCAAGGATGAGCGAGCCCTGCGGCTTTCTCTGCTCACCCGCGGACAGAGCGAAGGTGGTCAGTCCGGAGGCATGTGCCTAGCTCGCAGCACCTTTTCACGGCCATGTGAGTTCTCAAGGACAGACAGCTCAGAGTGAGGAGCTTTGCGAGGAGTGAGACAGCAAGGATCTCACCTTCTATGTTTCTGGCGTTTTGCAATTGTGGGGCCAAGTCTTTTGCTGCCATCTACGTGCTGCTGTGCCATCTAAAGTGGCACCATACCCAAGTAGCCACTCACAGCCCCCCCTCTTGACTACTTCCTTGCGTGCAGACGTAGAGGCAGTCCGGCACTTGAAGCGGCAAGCAAAGACTCATGTATAACTTCTAAACCTGTGAGTGTCCCGGGCCGAGACTGCCATGCTTGAGTCCCGATGAGTCCCGCAGAAATGTGTTTGGGGATGGTGAGCCGGTCCACCTACCAGCGCTCTGCAGGGATCAGCCGGGATTGGTGGACCGAAAGAATCTGATGCACAGCATAACGCATCACAGCACTTGCAGATGCTGACTTTTGATCCCTGTAAAGGGCGGGTATGCTTAGAACAGCTGCCAAGGTGCTCTCCAATTACGGTATCTAAAATGCTACGGGAAAGACGGCAACAGGCTACGCTGTTCCCCTTCCTTTCGACTGGGCCTGGCAGCCTGGCAGCTGGCCGAACTACGAACTGAAAGGATGAGCACAAAGCAAAGCAAAAGCTGGTTTCTTAGCGCTTATCTAAATCGGCACCAAATTTGGGCCCTTCCAATCTCAGATGCGCAGTCTCATAAATGCAGTCCCAAGAACTGCTGTGTGAATCACGTGGAAGGGCTCGTTCCTAGTTGTGGCTTAAGTCCCGCGAACAAGGATTCGCTGGTCGAGCATGCTTTGAGGGTACCTCCTGCCAGAAACCACCAAGAGGCTGCGCAGTCGTGCCAAGAATACGAATACACACGCGACGTCCGCGGCCCTAGCAAGGGCAGCGTTTAACCACCAATAGGGCACGAAGGCGTTTCAACTGAATCTTCTCGACATGGGGAGGACTGAAAGTGCTCCTCTCGGACATTTTCGGATCCACTTTCAGGGGACGGAGGCAGCCGGACACATAAGTCAGCAAAAATACCAGACGTGGTTCATACATTACATCTCAGCTTCGCCGGACCCCTGGAATAGTCCAAGATCTTGACATGACCAATTCGTGAGGTGTCCTTAGGACGTGAGGCAGCGGACAGCCGGGTTAGGTGAACTTGCTCCCTGATCCGTCAAGTGTAAAGTGTGAACACACAAGTATGGCCTCTGCACTGATCTACCGGCAAAGCATATGTGATCCACCTATTTACGGATCCTGGTGACCAAGCAGGCAGGGATTCTGGCTCACATGTGACTCCACATGTGACCGAGTTCAACGGGCAAGGTGTAGCAGAGGCCTCAGAGCATTCACTCCACCGATCGCGGAATTTCAAGCAGCCTCAGCTCACAACTGAACAAGTGAGGAACAAAGGATCTCTTTGGCTGAGCAACCCTCCATGATGGTCTTCCATGATTGTAACAGAAGGTATGAGCAGGCTTGGCACACCTGTCATTAGCAAGCTTGTTGAAGGCTTGATTGCACAGACTCAAAGAGGTTGTATCTAGTTCGATTCACACATTCTGCGTAAAGTGCTGCAATGCTGAGACGTTTGCTGTTCTGGTAGATGCTGCCGCAGCCGCATCTGCCCTAAGACTGTTGCCTTGCATGTGAGAGGCAGCCAAGACTAAGATTACTTGCGCAATTTGGAGCTTGCCAGCATCGTCGTCTTTCATAGCCAGCATGATCATGTACATCGAATCCACACATCCGCTGCACCAGCATCATCACATTCCTTGCGAGTTGCTGGAATGATGTTCTGGTCGGTCCCCGACAGTGCAAGGCAGAGGTTGCATAGCCATAGCGCGGGGTTGTGCAGCCGCGCCCTGTCGGCGGAGCAGCGATGGAAATGGGCAGCTGAGTGAAGTTCTGACTTAAGTGCGAGACAGGAAACCAGGAAATGCCGAAGTCCTATCTGTGAGTAAGGTCTGCCAGATGTGTGAGCAGAGGTAGTGCCACGGAGCTGGCAGATAAACCATAGGCAGTCTGTACAAGCAAAGATCTCGAATCAGCGGACTCGCTTGCTGTCAGCATCAGAAGGCCTATTGAAGTGGAGAGCTGCAAGCGCAGACAAAAGTTGAAGCAAAAGCGGCTGTGCATCTGGCGATTTTGCAGATGCTGCTTGGTGTACCAGCTTTGTCCCTCTGAAGCTGTCGGACTTGGCACAGGGCTGATTTGTGACAGTTTGTCCTCAACTGTGAAGGCCAACTTGCCCAAAACGGTGTGCTCTCAGCTCGTTCTGGGCCTTCTTTGCTAATAGGTCGAGTCTGCTGGAAGACACACCTCATAGGCATCAGATGGCATCAGATGAGTATGTGAGTTGGCCGTGTCATAGACTACCATCAGGCCAAGACTGCGTTTGCCATGAGCCCAGGGTGTATGCCCATGTGCTGGATTCAGCTTTCTTGAGATGGTCTTTCTTCCGTTTTGCCTTGGCGAACTTGCACCCCCGAAATGCCCACGCATGGCCAGAGTCTAAGAGCATAAAAGCCAGCTGAAGCTGTTCTCGGAAGAATGTCAGCACGGTCTACAGAGACTTTACGACATGCTTTTGACATGAACAGCAGGATGGATGTTTCGGCTCAAATGCCCAGAGCTGGGCTCTAGCATAGGATTGTCTCACAGTTCTCAGAGTCATGTCAGCAGCCTGACTGGTGACAATCATCCAGAAACCTAGAACTATCATGAACAGACAGAAAGCAACTGCGGGCTTGGGGTTGAGCACAGGCCAAACGCACACAGACGTGAAGGCTGCACAAAGTACTGGAAGTAGGTCCAGCCTGCCGAAGATTTTTAGCTTCTTCGCCATGACTTTAGCGGAGGTCGGCAATTCATGATTCTGTTTGAGTGCATCTTAATGTCAGTCGTGACCGGCCCAGCGTGCCGCATAATTCGGGGAAGCTCGTAGAACTGACCTGAACAGCGAGGGCATGGCAAATCTGGCACATGTTTGCATCTTTCCGCACTAATTTCGCTGCCTGGTCCTGGTGGCAGAATCCATTGCAGTGCATTGTTTGCTTCATCTCCTCTGTTGAAGATACGGGAGTGTTTCCACTGGCGGGTACGGTCACTGCTACTCATGTGCATCCCATCCATACTTGGTAGTCGCTGTCAGCAAGTGTTGCAGTCGTGTTTGGGGCTGGATTGCCGGACATACAAAGAATTGTGATTCGGGGCGCATAAACTGTTTGAGTTTGACGATGACCATCTCATTGGCGCACCGCACCCTGAGGCAGTCTTGAGCTCATGCAAGAATACCCAGGCTAGAGTCTGTGAACCAAAGATAGAGGAGGGCAAGAATTTGAAACAGATTTGCAACTTGCTCTGGTGTGTCAAGACTGAATTTGTTGGCAAGGAATGTCACAATGCTGGCCAGCTGGATGCTCCCGCCTTTCTACTGCAGTCATTGAACATTTGCCTACGCAAAGATATGCATACCGACGTAACGACATGCCGCTCGCAAGCGCCAGTGTGAGTATGCACCACTGCTCAGTACAAATCCCCCGGAGAGGCATGTCTGCAACTGTTGCATTTTGTGCTCCGCCGCTATCCGATGCTCTGGTATGCACATGCAGGACAAAGGGGCATGTTGGGGTGCCCGACCTCCTTGTACGCACCTGATGCGGCCCCGCCAAGTACCCACATCTTCGTTGTTTCAGGCAATTCCTTCATTACGAGGTTGAGGCGGGTAGCCAGTTTGGGCTGAAACAGGTTGAACAAGAGACTTGCGTATTGGTGCAGAATGCCAAATGCAAGCATCGGCGTGTTGGCAGAAAGAAGTGCTCGAATCTGCGATTGCTCGAGCCGGTGTTTTCGCGCAGAACTGCCCCGACAGAGCCTCTCGCTAGCAGCTCCCTTGTGCATGGGCGCATCGACGGCAGCCCATACCACCGTCCTGGTGGCACGATTCACGCTCCAACTTTCCTTCGGCCAGTGGCTGTGCATCAGTCATTGGGGAACATCCTCTGAAAATCATCGCCCAAATGCATACACTCGGATTTTGTGTTGTCATCCCCCCCGCGACATCAGTCAGCTATCAAGTTGGCACGGGCTGATCCGGTCAGCAGCGCCGGGCCGGGCAGTCCGAGCTGGCTGGCACCGTAGTCCAGATTTCTTGCTTAATGTGTTTCAGCTCAGCACGATACCCATCATGAATTGCGTGGCTTCCTACAGAAGAACGGAATAATAGGCTTAGCGCACTGGCTGGTTGTTGAGATTTTTGCGTCTTTGCCGTGCAGCATGTGCATCTAGCAAAATGAAGTTTTGATATGGTTGCCAGTGTAAGAGGCAGCTGTCTGCAGAGTTTGTGTATGTTGTTCATCTCCAGTGGCTTTTCGCAACAGCTTAACGAGGGGAGAATTTGGGTTCGCGGACAGGCAGGTGTGAGTGCATTGAATCCCCGCAATTTTCAGTTGTCTTTGAAGTGTCCTGCAAATTGTTTCGGTATGCTTTGTGCTCGAGAGCAGGGCCGGTCGACCTGCAACCAGTTCAGATTTATTTAAGGCCACACGTTCGCTGTTATTAGTAAATGTCGCTTGTAATTGAAAGGAAGGTTGAAAATCAGACGCATGCTCTTGAGCGTGTCCGCGTGCCGTCCACTAAGTGCGTTGTGCGTCAATGATTGTCTGCCCAAAGCGCGACAAAGTAGTGCAGGCGGCAGCTCCCAGCATACTTCCACGAGGTGGGCCTGTTCGTGCTTGTAGAAAAGATCTCATGGCTGCACCGCCTCTGCGGCAGGCGCAATTGCCTCCAGCTCTGTGCGGGGCCAAGCTCGAAGGAGCTGGCATGAGGCCGGGTTGAAGAAACCCTGCAACTTCTCAAACTTGAGCTGTGAGATGCTGTGAGAGCACCCTTGCTCGTGGAGCAAGCTGGAAGATGGAAAGAACAACATAGTTGTTCGACGCCGTGTCATATGTGGCCTCGGCTAAGAAGATGTTTGCTGCAATCTCGCAGAAGAGGTTTGAAAATGACGGGAGTTGCAGACTGCCTTGACGTTGCAGATGCTCGCAGTGACTCCGCAGGTGCCCGCTGCCAATGCACGAGGCATGTCGGGAAAGCTTTCTGCTGAATCAAGAATTCAGCGGGCTACGGTAGAGATGGTAGAGACAGTGGAGGTGCTCCTGGCTGCTGCCTGTTTGGTGCTGCTTTGCACCGCTTGGTCCTGCGTGCCGCAGGTGGCGGCGGTGATCGTAGCAGCAGGTTGGCTCCGCCTTTTGGCATCCATTGATGGACTGCAAGTAGCACGCATGTTGTCAACCTATCCTTCACACACATGTCACTGCAGCAGTGGCTGCCTCTTTCATTGAGAGAATCCATGCAGGCAGACCTGGACATTTCACTCGGCTACGCTGACAGGCAAAAGAGCTGCTTGTGATGGTGTTACGAGAAGATAGCGTCTAGTATTCGAGGTTCCGAACCTAGTTACTTGAGCAAAGCAACACTGGTGCTGCCGAGACAGTTTCCTCAGCTTGCTCCGTGAGGGCAGCATGTTGGCTGCTTACTTAGCTTATCCCTGAGGGTCTGGCGCATGGTTTGCTTGCAGGGGCCTCTGCGCTTCTCGCCGGGTTCTTGGGGGCATCTTTGAATTCAGACATTATAGCTGGCAACCTTGCGTGCTAGACCGAGATCACTATGTCAGATCAATGTTCCTGCAGAGCTAATCACATGATGTTGAGTCAGTCATCAGTCCTGCCTCAATCTGGTGGTGGCGTTTTCAGCATGTTCTGCTCCACGTACCATTTTTGGCAGAGCCACTGGAAGCACGGAGCCTCCAAATTCCTGGTATGCATAGGCTGCACGTGGGCGCAGACTGGGGAGACTAGGTCGCAGAGTTTTGGACTCAGCATGCAGATTCTGTGCCTGGTGAAGAGGAAGTCGTGTTTGGCCAGGATGTCGTGTGTCAGGAACAGGATGGCAAAACTTGACTGAATGGCTGAAATCTATCTTTTGTGGGAGATCTCGTCCCCACGTTTACAGATTTTTGGAGAAGAGACGCAAACAAGCATGCTTCGAATGCGGCTAGAAACCACTTAGGACATCATTGAAAGCCAGCAATCTTTCCTACTCATTCCAAGTTTCGTGCACCAAACATTGCCTCTTGCTCGCAGTGCCCTGGCTTGGGTCGTGCATAGGTTCAGTGTTGGGTTGACTCTTGTGCAATGAGCCATCGGCACAGATCATATTCGGAGCGATTCAGAAAACATGTTGAACTCGTTTCCAGTTCGTTACACATTTTTGATGCGAGGCTAAAATTCCAACCGGCAACGCATCGTTAGAGATTGCCCTGGATCATTTTCCCAGGTTTTCGATCGCTTCCGGCAGGATGCCATAACGGCAATCTACAGCGCCCAGGCTGGTCCTCATTCCAATGCAATTGTCGCAGGCACCCGAATACGTCAGCCTCTACACAAATTCAGAAAGATGGGAGATTTCAGCCACAGGAAGAAGCTCTCAGACGCAGCTGGGCCCATAGCGCTACGAAGCTTGAACATCTGTCAGGTTTTGAGAAGATTGGCCTTGATTTATGCAGCGATGCTGAGGTCAAGACGTGGTATCCACCGAGCTCATTATCCTTGGGATCATTTCCGAGGCTATGAAAAGCATTTGAGGGAATCGACCCAGACAGAAGTTCTCCCACCCTGAGGAGCAGAAAGGTGCCAACCTCATTGCCAAGACTGCTCTGGCACAACGCTCGGACGTTTATTGCCTGACATTCGGTGGACCGGCCAAAAGCTGGCAGCTTGAGGTTCGGAAGGGAGTCACTCGAGAGGCGAGCTCCGAAGCAAGTTGTCTGAGAGCACGGCTAGCACATAGATGCAGCTAGCAGATTGCTAGCAGTTGCAACTGTAGCCACTTCCCCTAACCTTCAGCCTCGACTACAGAAACAGCAGGCTCATTCTTCGTTGCATTGGCCAGGCTGTGAAACGCTTCATCGTGAACAACCCCAGGCCCTTTGCAGACACCTCGGCAGGACCCATTGCACCAACAATCACCCAACCACATCAAAAGACCTCTTGGCATGCAATGTCTTCCTGAAGGATCAGGCTCCTTGCCTTTCAGCGAGAACGCTAGGCTGCTTTTTGACACCGCTAACGTCTGATGCTGAGCACAGTTTTTGGGCTTCCCGCCACTGTGACGCTGAACATTGCTGAACCAGCTTGGAGTCTTGCGAACCCCAAGGCAGATTCAGTTGGGAATGCCGAGATTGGCTGTGAGCAGCTACTTCTGGCTTTGAGCTGGATGGCCTAGCTACTGCAACTGCAACGAGCAACTGCGACGAGCTGCGACCAGCGCAACTAGTGCGGTGCAGCAGTGATGCAGGTAATGCAAAGTAAGCAATCGAACCCCACTCATATTGCGATGCCAGGAGTAGATGTGGATCTCAAGCCCGTGTCATGTCTCAGTCTCAGGCCAACCTGACCTGGCAGAGTGCGGTGGGGCTAAGATGCTTGCAGGCGCCATGCGCCAACTGCAGAGTTCTGCACTTCGGCTCACTTCGGGTCAGTGCCAAGATTCCTGAAGGCCTCGGGGTATCTGGAGATGTGCTGCGCATAGCCGTGTCAGAAGCAATGCCTGGAGCCCAGGGTGGTGTTCAGCCTGCAGAATCGCAAGCCACACGTAGTGACATCAATGTGACACTCTTGGGCTTATCCTTCACATCATTTCTTCGTCAATCTTCAGGTCTGCCCCTGGCCCACCAGAGCGACAGCTTGCTGCTGTGGGAGTTCATGGCTGAGCGTCGACTGTATCAACGATATGGATGTGAAGGTTCCTTAGGGTTACCTGCGTGTCTCAAATTCTGTTCCTCAGGCAGATGAGTCCAGCGAATCCGACATGACTCTAGACGAAGTTGCCACTGACCTGACGTGCCTTGTCAGACACAGCGAGGAGGCTCGCTGCATCTCACGTGCCAGCCTCACCAGGCAAATGGCGCTGGACGGTTTGCTTGATCCGGTAATGGGTTTGGTCCTTAGCTGCTGATGACACAGCTTGGCCATGCGTTTGCTTGGAGGCCTTTGAGCACAAAGCATTGACAAATCCCTCACGGTCGCAAATTCCAAACTTCACAATCCGATTTTGTGCAGCAAGGGCTGTCATATCCATCAGTTGCGAGCACCTGCTCTGACGCTTATGAGCCATGCATTTCCGGGAACGAGCTATTGCAGGAGTCTTCCATGTACTGTAGATGGGCGAAGAGTGTTACTTAGGATTAGACATGAGATGTTTTGCTTCAGGAGTCTGGTCAATGCGCACTTGGATGCCTTTTGTTGGAGCGACGATGAATCTGCATCTCTACATGCCAAAGACTGCCAAACTGCAGTGCTCTGTTCGTGTGTCGCACTGCTAAACTGGTCATGCGTGCTTTGACTTCCAGAGCGGAGATTGCTTGCGAGCTTAGGGTTGCGGCACATATCTATCTACAGTTGGGCAGAGGCGAAAGCAAGTCATGGATGAGAAGTGCCATGCATGATATGCTTTCAAGACTGTCTAAGAAAGTTTCCCAAGGCCGGCAAGAGGAAATGGATCGGATTATCCAGATTCTTCTGCGAAAGCGCAAGCGTCGACCTCAAGGTGACAGTCGTGTGATCGGTGTCGGTTGCAACTAGAAAACGGTTAGCTTGGCGAAGCCAATGCATGACAATTCCAGTTTGATGCTTTGTGTCAATCTCCTCGTCGTCCAGATCTGAGGAACAATGCCTGTCTTGTTGGTCCTCCTGGCGTTGGGAAGACGGCAGTAGTGGAAGGCCTCGAATCACTGCTGTGCAATTCCGAATTGGGTTTCTGAGTTTATGCGCTGTATGCTTGCGGGTGTTGCCCTTTCCCGACTGCAATTGTTGTGTTCCATGTCACAGTATCCTTGCATGAAGCTAGGATGTTTCTGCCGTTGTGTGGCAACCATGAGCAAAAGCGTTCAGAGAAACCCTACCGGTTCATATTTTGATAGGTCTGGCCATTCGCATTGCTGAGGGCAAGGCGTGGAGCAACATCTCACATTAGACGCAGTAGAAGCAAAAAGGGAAGGAGACTTGCGTGGTGGCGTGGTGGGTTTCAAGGTGCCCGGCCGCTTAAAAGGCAAGCAGGTCTACTCCCTGGACCTGGGCCAGCTTGTTGCTCGGAACTTAGCCGAATTAGCGCCTTGCACAGACTTTGGAGGGCTGTTGCTGGTTCCCTTGTCAGGCTGGAACCAAGTACCGTGGGGAGTTTGAAGACCGTTTGGGCCAAAAGCTTCTCAAGTTTGTTTTTTTTTGCAAGACCTTGCGACCACCCTTAAGGTTTGAAGAAGGTTCTCAACGAGGTGACCAGTGATGAACGGGACGTCTGCCTCTTCATTGACGAGTGCGATGCTTGGGCCTGTCTGCACTTGCAATGGCTGCATGCCGTTTTCATCTCATCATGTTTGCTCCATATTTTGGAATCGCATATTCAGGATCCATCAGATCGTCGGCGCTGGTGCTGCAGGCCGTCCACAGTTTTCCGGAAGCCCTGCATTGTGACTGGAAGGGCCCTGCATAGGAGGCTTTGTAAATACATTTTTCGGACAAACATCTTTGACACACAACCTCCTTGGCTTCTCTGTTTCGGATCGAGGAGGACCAAAGTCTCAGCCAGTTCTTGACAGGCGCTGGTGAACCTTCCCAACATGATCTTATGTCTGCGCCAACTAATCTTGCCAACATCCGAAAATTGGGTACACCAAATTCCTTGATTTTCAAGGCTTCGTGGAATTGACAGACTTGAGGATGTGCTCAGAAAGCTTCCTCCTCAAGCTTGAGGAGGGATTTGGTCTAAGGCTCAACTGAAGAAGGGGGTAGGCCAGGCTTCACGGACTTGTTGATGGCCTTGGCGTGTAGATGGTGAGATAGCTCTACACAAGGAAGTCCTCAACATTATCTCCCGCCATTCAAGCTAACGCCCCTGTCATTCTCCCGAGCCTTCGTTCCAGACCCTGAGCCCATGTCCCTAAACCGAAGGCCGGAGCAAAGGCCTTGTCCAAGCTGAACACAAACATGACATGGATCGATACGTCGCATGTGACGTCGGTCCAAGAAGTGATTGAAAGCTCATGTTGTAGACGCTGCAATTCGAAACAAGATCAGCATAGGTTGTGCCAGGCTTGCACTCGAACAATCGCAGCTTCAAGCGATGAAATCTGACCAGGCGCTGATTCTTCCATGGATGCTGCCAACTTGCTGAAGCCCTCACTCGCGCGTGGCGAGCTGCAAGCCACTGGTCGTCATTGAGATTTATAGGGTCACTGGAGGCAGTGGGGTTTCAAGAAAGGCAGATAGATGGCACAAACGGGGTGGGTTAAAGCCCTGAAGCGTCGATATCGATCAGCAAGCACCGCACCGTGCTTAGCGCTCGGGCAAAATCACGTCTTCGATGCGGATCTTATAAATCACGGGGAGGGCCCGGCGGGCCTGAAGGGCACTGAGAAATTGCTTTAATCTGAAAGTATTTAGAACCAGAGAGTGGGCTGAAGTTATTGTACATGTATCGAGGCCGCACTGATCTCAAGTTCATGCAACGTCCGGCCTTCATACGTATAGATGGCATGTCGAGTTTGCATTCATGCAGACGATTAGATGGACCAGGATCGCTTGCAGTTTGCATAGAGCAGGTTTCTCGGAATGCAGGCCTGCGCAGATAGACGGCATAAGGAACATGTCTCTGCCACTCGGCTTGCGTGCTGTGCTTAGGGCTGTAAGACAGCATTTCCCACAGCTCGCAAACACCCCTGTTGCCATCTTAAATCGTAGAAATCCATATGCCATCTAGTCGTGAATCCCTGTAGCCATGAGGGCTGCTGGACAACGATGCTGGTGTTTGTTTGTTGTTTTCCCTGGCAAGCATCCAGTTCAACAGCCTGCGCCAAATTCTGATCACCTGGCACGCCAGTCTGGTTGTCTGACAAGCACAGTGAAATTGATCATGTTGGGCTGACAAGGATGTAAAGCAGCGTGAAGACTTTAATGTATAAGCACAAACCTGCTTGAACGGTTTGCATGCATAGATGCTTGGGGCATCGCAGAAAACCAGGTGATTGGGGCGACCACGGTGGATGAGTGCGCTGGAAGCTCTTTGATCGGGTGTTGTGCTTGTCTTTGAGAAGCAAGGGCGTGTCTTTAGCTGTATCTTATGGAACAAGATGTTCGGAGTCGAGTAAATGTGTATCAGGTACACCAAGCACATAGAGAAGGATGCTGCTCTGGAGCGGCGTTTCCAGCGTGTGAGCTGCGAGGCAAGCAGCAGCCACACTTTGAAACATGGATCTAACTTTGCTACATCTGACGGCACTGGAAATTCCATGTTTCATCGAGGAGCCAAGCGTAGCTGAGACCGTGGAGGTCTTGGAAGGACTTCGTCCCTCCTACGAGGCTGCATACCACCTCAAAGAGGATTTGGGTGAGATGGTTGAGTTGAGGTCCACCTGAAGCACCTCAATAGTCCACGTATGTGAAGGCCCATCACGGAGTACTGCTGACGCCAGATGCACTGCAGGCCTGCAATCAGGTTTTGCCTTTTTAAGGTTTCAGTTGCTGAGCCGACTTGTCTGGCCTCTTCCTTGTGCAAGGCGGCTGCCAGGCTGTCTGACCGCTACCCGGCGTTAAGACATGTCGGTCGTCCACGGTGCAACGCAGAAGGCAGCATGAAAGAGTGACGACTTTGGTTCAGGCTATGTCAATGATCGTTTCCTGCCCGACAAGGCCAGCTTTGCAGAGTGTACTCGTATCATGCTCTACGAACACCAGAACCATGGTTGACTTTCTCCTGTTACTCTCCTATTGCTTCTGCGCATGGCATATGAAAATCAATCGTGTAAGGCCGTCGATCTCATTGATGAGGCAAGCAGTCTGGTCCTATCCTGAGATCGAGTGCCGTCCCATACCTAGAACAGCATGCCTGACGCTCAACTGCTATGGTAGAACCCCAAAATCAGGTGAATCGAGAGGGTCAATTGTTAAAGAAGCGCCCATACTTGCCACCTTCAGGCCCAGTGGCGGGCCGAGATGGAACTAGAGGAGGTCAGCAAGTGCTGAAGCGATGACATGCAGGCTGCAGGCTGCTAGCTCGATTTCGTGCGTGTCCAGGCAAATCAGCAGGCGGAGCCGGACGAGCTGTACGTCCCTCAGTTGTGTTCCGTGGCAGCAGGCTCCGTGCCGTGCACGCATGTGCACGCATTCTTGCAGCTGGCAGCGGAGTGTTCGGTGCTGTCACCTCCTACTTCCTTCGGAAGACCTCTCGTTTGGCGTTTGGCTAATTGATTCAAGGCATGCCCGTGTCGTAGCTGGGTTCATTTTCACCATGCAGAAGCCATGGCTCGTGTTGTTCTTCGTTTCGACAGAGGGGCTCGGCTTTCTGAGGACTGTCTTCGTTGAGTATGAAGATGGAACAACCGATGGGCATTTCAACTTTGGAAGGGCCATTGGAGAGGCCATGGGCGCCGACATCAAGGCAGTATGGGCAGCTGACTCGCAACTTCATGCCATGGAAGCCTGGGTACCTTGGCCTGATGCGGACAATCAAACAGAGTCGTCACACTAAAGACGCAAGACTGCAATTTCTTGGTTGGACGCACCATGTCGTGTTCTTTTTCCTCAGCAGCTTCTTCTGAAATGGCTGTGGGCCAGCACAATCATACAGCGCTTGCTAGCTGCAGAATTCCGGATAGGAAAGCAGTAGCATCGCATAGTGAAGGTAGTCAGTTTGTGTTCTGAAGGACAGTGCCGTGAGCTAGAGACTTGCACGATGGCAGACCAGAAAGACAACAAATACTGTCAGAGCGACACTGCTTTCACACGAGCCGAGTCACCGCAGGGTGTGAGAATTGGACGCTGGGTGAGAGAGAGAATTGGATGTTTGCACTGTATGAGCGCTCACGCTTATGTGAGGCTCTTGGGCAGGGCCGTGACATCTTCGAGGGCTTTGTGCTGGAGACGAATGCCACATTCCCGCTCTACATGCGGGAGGTTTGTGGCGTGAAAATTGCTAGCTGCAAGCAGGAATCTGCAATGTGATGGATGAAAAGAGATCCTGGTACGGCTAATGATGTCTAATGTAAGAGTGTCCTGCCACTTACGCGTGTGCCTGTGCTAGGTGGAGGGCATGGCAGATGGCTCCGGCATAGCGCTTCATCGCATGCTTGTGAACCAGCTTCGAGAGGTGCCTGCATACCCCAAGTCCCCAACAAACGTAGGAAAAGGCGTGGTCAAGTAGATGCCTCTGTGCTGCAGTTTGCCATTAATCTCCAGAAGCACCTTGTGGGATGGTTCCCATGTTGCCACAGCCGCAGTTGCAGGAGCTTGCGCAGTGGATAGAGCCTCGACAGTTTGAAGGTCACTGCACAGATGGTTATGTGGTAAACGGAGAGTTGACAGCTCTCGGGCATAACGATGACTGGTCCATCAACTGGCGAAAGTCCTCCTACTTCGTGGTTGCAACCGCTTTAGATGCTGATGGGCGGGCTAAGTTCCGGATGGGCTCCTGGTGCTATCCTGGACTTCTTTTTGGAGTTCAGCTGAATTGGAACTCTTACGGCCTTGTTTGGACGGTGAATTCCCTTTTCCCTCGCCATTTCTGGCCCAGAGGAGTTGGGACTGCTTGGGTGTCCAGGCACATGACCGAGGCGACATCCGTGGAGGACTTTGTTGCACGTGCCTCAAATAAGCGCGTGTCCACAGCTTTGAACTATAACGTCGGCGTGCTCCAAGCCAAACGGCTGTGGAATGTGGAGGTTACTACGGGGGGCCTACATGCCATCCAAGAGATCACGTCTCCGTATGTTCATACGAACCAGTTTAAGCTGCTCAACGTATCCCAGTTTCCTGAAGCCTCTTCAGTGCATCGAGAGGCACGTTGGAAGCAACTCCGGCCCAACAACATTGCAGACCTGCGCGCTTTCTTGTCGGACAGATCCGATCCTGACTGGCCTGTTTGGCGAAATCGTACTAGCAAAGATGATTGCTTCACTTCCATAACTGGCATCTTCGACTTGCAGAGACAAACGCTATCTGCCTGGACGTCCCCGGCAAATGCCTCTGATCCCCTGTTTGAGATGAAGCTCGACTTTGTATCCGAGAGAAATACCCATGAAGGAGACTTTGTATATGTTAGCGTTTGAGTGCTGGCGCATCATCTCTGCAATGTGTTGTGCCCAGCTTGCTGTTTGAAAAAAACGCAAAGAACGCTGAGATCCGCCTGGAAAAAGATAAATTGTCCAAGTCGAGGTGTTTTCTTGCAGGGCCATGTCGTGTTTCATGGCCTGGCGCAACAGGTCCAAGCCGCTGGTGACGGCACAAGATGTGGCAAACATTCTTGCAAAGTGGCCGGGGGCTTCGCTATTCTTCATTAGCTTGGTGCTGCGCAGCAGGCCTGCATGATCCATGATCCAACGTTGTAAGTTATCGTAAGTTGGTAGTACATGCTTGGCCCATGTCGGTTTCTGTGAGCCTCCGTCATCCCAGGTCAGGCATCCCAGTGGAGCGGCTGTCAGAGGGTGAGTCGGACCGGCTGATGCGACTCGAGGAGCTCGTTATGCTCAGCTGAAGGATCTTTGAATGTCTTTGAGGCATTCTTTTTTGGTTGTCCCGCAACCTCATGCGTGCAAACCCATGGGAACTCCATCAAAGTGCCACTTTGGAACAGACGGAGAGAAGTCTTGGTATAATTTCGGTGTTGAGCGCGGCCAGCCCATTCCAGGCGCCTGTCGGCCAGACGCTAAGCCGAATTAAAACATTTGCCTTTACCCTTCTGGCGTGCCTTGACACTTACGCAGTCATGCCAGCCTGCTGACCTCCACGTCCCCGATGCGTCCGTCTTTGGTACCTTAAGTTGTGATTTACTCCTAATTGGGCCCCTCCCAGGGTACTTTTGTTGGGATCCCCATCCTGCAGCATTTGTTCTCCAAGCAGAGGCGCGTAGAAGTTCAGGGCTTGGCAGCATGTGCAATAAACGGTTTGTCGGCGGGCTCTGAGTGCAACCTGTGCATGTTGCGTCTGCACATCCATGCGCCGTTAATTCTGCAGAAATCTGTCTTGCTCTCAGGGGAAGTGTGGCCCCTGGTGCGGGAGGCGGTGGCCTGGTGGTGGCCAGTTGTTCGATGGCACCTCAGAATTGCGGAAGCAACGCGCAAATCCTTGGCCCTTCGCGCCAAAGCTTTCAGGCTCCAAGGGGGCATGCCAACAACGTGCGCTGGGACGCCGGGCTTGTACTGTGTAGGTAAGGCTAAGTGTCTGATGCCAGAGGTGTCCAAGCACACTGCAGAGTCATTGGCTTCGTCGCTGAATTGCCGAGTTGACTTCGTGTGGTTGGCTGGGGGAGCACCAGGCCTGTCGGACCGCAGTCTTTGTTGGCAAAGTGAAGCAGGATACAAAAAAGGTGTGAAACGGGATGAAGCCTGCGCCTGAAATGTCACTGGCGCATAGCCGCCTCACCCAAACCCCCACTTTCAGGCCGAGAATGGGGGTTTGGGTGAGGCCCACTGCAAGTGGCAGCAGCCACATCAAGCTGGCTGGGGGAGCACCAGGCAAGACATGAATGCTCTCACTGCCGAGGGCTGGAAAGGCCACGCTCAACTTTTTTGATCCTTCGTTTCCTGGAATCGCATGATGTTACCTGTGCCTCCCCGATGGAGCTGGTGGTCGAGAATGTTGTCCTTGTTGAGCGCAAAGAAAGCCTTTCCATGTTCAGCCGAATCAGTCACTCTCCATGTTCAGCCGAATCAGTCACGCCTTGAAGCCCAAGCCCTACTTGGATCAGCCCGATGAAGCCTTCAAGTGGTTGCTAGAAGTATATACCAGGGATGCCACGCTAGAATCCCTGAGGGGTCAGGCAAGGTGTTGACCATTGATACGAAGCTTCTGGCTGCTCTCTCCAAAGTCGTGAAGGGAGAACTTGGATGCAGGATACTCAACCACAAGGAGGTCGAAGCAAGTAAGGGTCATGCAGTGCGAGGGCGCCAAGTTTTGCTAATGTTCGAGCAGTTCTTTACGACTAATGAAGGGGCTGGCTCGCTGTACTCTGTCGAGGACCTACTTAAAGTAAGTCTGAACAGGGACGTTCACAACTAGGAGTCCGTGATTGCCGGGATGTCTCACGTTCGTGAGGAAACAACGTTGAGGGATATCCTGCTAAGACAACATCGGAAATCTGATCGCGTGAAATGTGACCTAGACATTTACGATCGTGCCAAAGAGGGAACCCACAATTACACGTATGGCTTTCTCACCCCGTCAATCCATGATCTCCTGACCCGTGAGCGCATCAGGAACCGTGACAAGATAGCCAGGTCGCACGGAGACAAGTTTGGAACCCCAGCGATCAGTGGCCTGGAGCTGTCAAGCCTCAAATGTGGCACGTCTTCCTGGGCCAGCTGATTTCACGGCTGAACTTAAGCCCCCGTACCTTTTTGGCTGAGGGTGCTTTGTTAGGCATTGGCTGCTGGGTCGGGGGATTTCTCTCAAGGTCCTGGGCCACTCCCCTTCTTATCAGTTCCAGGTTCAGGTAGGTAATTTTCGTAGTGGCTAGGGAAGTTTTCGGGCCCTTCAGTTGCTGGGTCATTGCAAGTGAAAGTAGAGGTGACCGTGGACCTTGCCACTGAGAAAGACACTGCTGAGGGCCCGAAGGGTGGGGCGTGATCCCAGATCCTAAGCCTGTGCTGGAGCCTGCTGTGCTCGATCGTCTGGCAAGCCGCTTGAGTTCTCACACAGCAAAGGGCGTTCCACGCCTTCGGATCTCTTCTGCTCGGCAAGCTGGGCTTGATTCTCGCGACTTGGATCTGCGTTCAGTGGACTTGGTGCGACCCGAATCTCTGGGCGGCTGGGAATTCGTGTGGATTTTCACTGCTTGGTGGGTGTTGAAGCGCAAGCACGCGGATCGCTTGTTGAAGACAGAGCCGAGCACCCGGCTTGTGGCCTTCTCCTCGCAGGCGGAGGCAGAGGCGTATTGTGTTGGTTAGAAATTTGCGTCGTGCTAGGTGAGCTCTGACTCCTTAGCAGGCTACACCTACGTGTAGGTAGCTTTTCCTTGCGTCAGAGAATTTTCAGTGTCTTTTGTAAATTTGTGCTTGCGTTTCCGCAGCCACTGTCAATCGTTCAAGCTGTACAGCAATCTGCGACGTGGACTTGCTCCTGGGCAGGATGGCGTCCAGCGATACTGTGCTTCTGAATCCTGCCGTCAATGGGCTCAACATTCCTTATGTGAATGGTGAGCACGTTGTGCATTCTGCATGGTTCAAGGGCATGGATGGCCAGCGCTCCGAGAATGAGGTTATCTTGGGAAGACCCGCTCTACGGCGGGATATGCCAGGCGCACACAGCATCGAGCTCTCTTACCTTCCGTCGTCGCCAGCCAGGTGAGTCTCATGCAAAGGTTGGTCCGCTGGCAGGAAGAATTCATGAAAGAGCACGAGTCCTCTTTTACTATGACTAAGGAACAACACTGGGAATACTCATTAGTCAAGATAGCTGTCGGTTGTGTTACGGACAGACTGTTCCTCAATTACAATCGACAATACCAGGAATGTGCACGTCAACAACGGCATCAAGAGAAAGACGGCCTGTCTTTCTGCCTTTCCAAACATCACTCACAGATACTCCGCCACAAGCATGTGGCACATCTGGATTCCACATTGCACCTGTCCCTGCGCCAGGTGGCCGCCATTACCGATCCTAAATTAGGACTCAGGACCTTCTTTGATGTGGATGCAGCTTCGTATTTTGCATGCTTGTCTTGCAACGACAAATCCCGTTTGTCTTCAACATCTCACTCAAGGAGGTGATTGCGTCCCATGTTGGGGATTTAGGGTTTCAGATCAAGGTTAGGGCAGTACAAGGTCATAGCAGCCTACCACCAGTGTACAATCCTGACGCCCTTGGCGACCGACTGGAGCCGTGCAAGGCAATGGGTTATATTTTTCATGCCCCATCCAATGTGAGTTCTCACTCCATCAATCAGCGTGGCCTAATGCTTTCGCCGTTCGCTCATGCTTTGGGCAAGGAGAAGGGCCTTGTCGATGTGCGCTTTGTGTATGCAGGTGGCACTACTCCACGCCATGGCATTGTGATCCGTAGAGGTAAAGATATCCATTATTGGAATCTCAACTACGAGAAGTTTCTGGCGGACGGGTTTCAACTGAGAGGCACGCCCAGCGGCGTGGTACTCATTACCATCGACGTCCCCAGCAGGGCTTACTTAGGACCCCTTTGCGTCACGCCGCCTGAGCATTACCAGCAGTCCGTGCCTCGCGAACCGCCTATGCCTCCGCCTCCGCGCCGAGAGAATCCGCCAGACTCGTCCCACGACGCCATAGTTCTCAAAACACGTCATGAGACTGCTAAGCAATTTTCCCGCTTCATTTCCTCAATCAATATGGTGACCTGCAACCCATGGTACTTATGGTTTCACTAAGTTGTGGATTCAAGGTAGGGACGGTTCTAGGGTAGAGGCTAAGGGCGAATATGGTGAGCCTAGGATCCATCTAGTGGAGTATGATAGTCTGCCAAATGGTGTCCGCAGCAGATTAGACATCGGTGACAAGCTGGAGTGGATGTCACACCCCTTATCTGGGTACTTGTAATTCTTTGACTCCTTTGAATTAGGCCTTGTGGGGCTGTATTATGTTAGAACACCACATAAGCCGCGCAACGGATACTTCTATACCCACGGTCATGGGCTACCTCCAGGTTTCCTTGCTGCCGGCAGCCTACCGTCTATCCGTGTGTCGGCAGATGCCGTCTGGGGTCCAGAAAAAACCTTAAGTGCTACCATCGGTCCTGATGAGGTAGGGTCTGCTGCGGCTCATGCAGAGTATCAGGACAAGATCCAGTACTATGTTCAAATTGATGAGAAATTCTATGAGGACATTTACATTTACATTAAGAGACTTTGAACTCCTTATTGAACTTTCCACGAATTGTTCAGTAAGGATCTCTTTGCTCACATCTCTAAGCACAGGGATGACGAGGCCGAACGTCGCAAGTATGCCATCAGTGTCCCGGGCTCGGGGCATGTCTATTATGATTCACCTTTCGCAATGTCATTCGACCCTCAGCTCATTCTCCGGAAGCTCAAGGCAGAGTTTTCTCCTGAAAGTGCCTGCGTTTCAAAGGCTTACAAAGAGCTCTGTGCCTACTGCAGCTTCCTGGATACAGAATTTGCTCGAGAACACACAGCAGTCGATTTTGAATCGTGCGACGACTTGTTCCGCTCCATAAATATCTCGGAAAGTACAGAGGCCATTCCGCCGATGATGTTTGAGGTTTTAGGTACGGTCCTAGAAGAAATTCCCGAGAGGAACACGTTGAAAGTGTACCGGACTCCTGGTACATCACGGGTAGGCGGGGCCCACGTCGCGGAAACCCAGCGGGCAGTGGACGCACTCAACGGCGCGAGGCTTGTCTTCGAGGGTGATGAAGACGGATGTGTCCTGGTCGGCGAATCAGATCTTGATGAGCCAGATCTCGAGGATGTTATCAAGGAATTTGCGATGGAGCCTGACCATCCCAGTCCTGCTGGCCTCAACGAGTCGCTCCCTGATGTGGACATGGCGGCAGGCTCGTCCAACGACGAGGTAGCCGGAGACTTTGCGGAAGTCTTCCAGCTTCCAACAGTAACAATCACTGGTGAAGAAGATGAAGTGATGGTTGAATGCGAGTTGTTTCAGCTTGAGACAGCCGCCATACCTGTAGAGGATGCCCCTACACTGGAAGATAACAAGGCCAACGAAGAAGGCATCTTACACTTTCTTGCGGGCGTGGATGAGTACAAAACACAGACACCCTTACACACCGGTGACGTGATTCTTGAAGAGGATCATGAGGAGGAACTTAGAAGAACCCCATTTAGGGTGCTACATGAATCTTATGGGAGCGACAGAAGATATCGGGGACTTAGGAATTACTGCTTCCGTATGTCGCTCCCACAGGGTTCCGCCATCCTCATATTCTCTTATAGCTTATAGGGCAGGGGACCTTAGGGATATCTATCATGACCGTGAAATTAGGAAGTCCAGAGAAGAAAAGCAAGCCGCTATGGAACGCCTTGAGGTCATCAAGAATGCCAAGGGACCAATACTCAGGTCGCAGCTAGTCACTGGAGTCTGTGAAGCCTTTTTGGCCTCTGGTTCTCTTAAGGGATATGGGGGACTGTCAAAATTATGGTCCCTTTTTGGGTCCCTATTATAATACGGGGCCTAACACGGGGCCTANNTACGGGGCCTAGTTTAGGGGACCCAAAAAGGGACCATAATTTTGACAATCCCCCATATACATTCAACAATGCAGCAGATGCCCCTAGCACCAGCTCAGCACCCAGGTCTAGTGGTGACCCACAGAGGAAGCCTGAACCACCTCAGGGTACCTCGACTAAACACAGGGTGTTAAATAGGAGCCAGGGACATCTGTCTGTATGTCTGCTGACTTTAGGTCATTGGGAGAGGTCTAGGAAGCGCTCAACACCTCAGTGTTTCCATCATCTCCTTGACTGGGATGCAACATGCGCTGAGCACAAGCGTGATCCCACTCGTGGGAATCTTTCCCTACATTTTCTCTCCAACATCAGTGCCCATGTCCTCACTAGGCAAGAGACCAGTACTATACGCCAAGGAGAAAGAGAAGTTCTGAGCAACATGGCTGGATGACTGCCACCAGTCCTGACAAAACACTTCTGTGCGGCATAAGGGCCAATATGGGCCAATCCTTGGCCTGGTGCCTCGCACTGTTCACAGGTATAAGGAATCTCCCTTGTCCTATGCGATCTTCGAGGCTTGTTTCGGTGAAGAGCCTCGACGTGAAGATTGGGAGAGAGCAGGCTTGTCCCACGACAAGGAAGCTCAGCGTGAGCTCCCTCGGGAGGACAACCCTGCCAAAGATAAAATTGTCAGGTGCGGTATGCATGTTGTGCGCCTTTGCTCCTTCCACCTTAACAATGTTGCAGCCACTGACAGTCCTGCCTTGTGTGGAGAGCTTCTCAGCTCGATGATAGCCGACTGCTTCCCTTATCAGGTCGACGTCACAGGTGGTGATGGTAACTCATGCACTTATAGGGTTGGGGGTAGCAAGCAGCAATCGTCCTCCAATGAGCAGTCCCTTTTCCAGGAGACATTCAGGTCGTTCCGTGATGCCTTTGTCTCATGCCAGGGAGGCGATCTTGCAGTTAGTCCCAAATTGACATTCACTTTGGGCAACACAACTGAGATTTTCAGACACTCTGAAGAGCACTATGGTCGTCCATGGAATGAGCTTGAGATAAATCATTGTCCTGAGGATCCCAGTGGAGATTACGTGGTTGCCTGCATCACTGAGTGGGGCCAAGTCAGACCATCGATAAGTGGTCAAGTCATCCTCCAGCAGAGTATGAATACATTGTGAAGGTCAGTGAGTTCCTGACACACCATCCTGTGTTTCACACTCCGCCATAATCTTACCACTGCGAGGGATCGGAGACAGCTTGTACCTTTCCCTATCAAGCAGGATAGGAATAGGAACAGAAATGCACGACAAGAGGCAATTCGACTGAAGGGCAAAGGCAAAGGCACTTCGAAGTTCCGGGGCAAGACCAAATCAAAGGTCAAAGGCAAAAGCAAGTAAACTTGCCAATGAGCTATGAACCCAGGGCTCTTTCAACGAAGAGGTATGGGAGTGCTTAGCTCCAAGCAAGGTTTGTCTGTGCCTTAGGCATCTTGCACGAGATGGTAAGGGCTTTGCACTTGCCAGCCGTAGGTTGGCCTTTCAGTAGATGTGTCCAATATCACACCGAGAGCTAGATAGCTGACCAACGGGACAGTTATGTAACATGAAAGTAAATTTGTGCCTGATTGAAATATCTTCAGTCCTGTTGCTTTGCTATCAGTCCATGT